CAAGATGTAAACTACTGTAAACGTAATGTTAGAAAGAACAACGTGGCCTCATCTTCTTCGTCCGCTCTCACTTTCATCTCAAAGGGATTTTCCCGGAGGATCCCCCCCCCTCCTCCATGCTCTATCAGTGGTTATTTCCCTAAGTGAAAATGGGTCACCTTCTTCTCTGTCAGGAGAACAGCCCGGTATATTCTGACTATCTCTGTGTGTTTATCGTGTTACAAACGTTAGTATCTGTGTGTAACGGTGGATTATAAGTAATGGAAATATGGTAGAAAGGGAATTTTATGAAGGTCTTTCAGAGGCCAAAAGTTTTGACTTTATTTTTAAGCTGAATTAAAAAAGCTTTCTTTTGTGCTGATAATCTACGTGTTTATTCTGTGAATATAACACTTGTTATCTGGTCCTTAAGGAAATTGTTTCAGAAGATATTCTACCTATGTGAATAATTCTTAATCAACCTTGCATAACTGAGGCATTGCAAAGCAAAATCATAAACTTTGATATTTATCATGCCATCTGAGGTATGCAGAGTCTAAAAAGAATATCTTTGCATTTCTTTGAGCATTGCACCATTGTGGATTTGCTGGAATGTCCATTTCTGAGATGATTGCAAATTCTCTTTTTTTTCATTGTGAAATGATGGCCTTTAAACTAATAAAACATAGTAGATATGCCTATTTAAAAGTAGATTGAACTAATTTCAATTTTCTCCCCTTTGGTTCTGTTTGTTTGTATTAACAAACATAATTAACTTATCTACAATAAGTGTGACATAAGACTCCATTTGACCTCCAATTTTCTGTTTTCCTTTGACACCATAGTTTCTCAATAAGATCCTGTCAGTTAGAACTTGTTCTTCCACATGCTTATCATGAGCTGTCTTTATTCATTTAGGGTTCCTGTCAGTACTCTCTGTTACCTTGGCTCCTATCTTAGGCCAACAGGACCTGTCACGGATGAGTCCAGAAGTTTTTTCACCCTTAGGTGCCAGGGCTCATTAGATTTTTAGGAAGCATTAGGTGTCTTAAACTTTCTACAGAACACATCCCCTTTGACCCTAAATAGTTTTATCTTCTGGGGAGAATACTGGACCCCCATAAAGTGACCAGATGATAGATACAATTGCTGATGGTGGCAATCTACAATGTAGCCACAGCTGCCCTGGGGCTCACTAAAAGCAGAAGCCACAACCCTCCAGTTGCAGGGCAAACTCCTTCATCCAACGCCACTGTCACCCCTACGTAAACGTAGCGGTCTGCCATGCCATCAGGAGAAACTCAGAGGGAGTTTGCTGCAATGGCAAACTCCCATAATAACCATAATATATCAATGTAATCTCTTAAGCTATTTCTTTTACTCTTAATATACATAAGCATGTTAAAATAACCTTAGTTTACCACAAGGCTACAATTTCAACCACCAGATAAAAGTCCTCAACTGATTAGCCTAACACCAAATTGATGACATGTAAAAAACAAAGAAAATTATTACAGATATCTGTTCGTTTTGCCTTGTGTTAACATTCAGCCCAACAACTTCATCAGTTATCAGTTAAAAGAAACATCTATTTTTCTTAGGATGATTAGGATGCCTCCTGGACGTCTCCCTGGTGAGGTGTTCCAGGCACGTCCCACCGGGAGGAGGCCTAGAGGGAGACCCAGGACACACTGAAGGGTCTTAGTTTCTTGAGTGGCCTGGGAGCGCCTTTGGATTGCCCCGGAGGAGCCGGCCCAAATGACTGAGGAGAGGGACATCTGGGCCTCCCTACTGAAGCTGCTACTCCCACCACTCGAACCCAGATAAGTGGAAGAAGTTGGATGGATGGATGGATGGATAGAATGCAACTTCTCAGTCTTCTTTTCCAACCCAATTCTAGTTTGACTGGCTGCATGCAGAACAAGGTAAGCTCAGCTCAGTACCAGCCTAATAGTGGCAATGCATCAGTGTGTTCTGGATTTTATTAGCAAACTATAAATATTAATTTAGTCTGATTGTGTGTGAGCTGCACCACAACTGCACAGCAAGAAGCTGGTAGAACAAGCAGAGAACATGAAAAAACATACAGCTTTGGACAGCTGATGGATGCTCTGGTTCTGTATGTATGTTAGCATAAGAAGCAATTTTCATCTTAGTGTTCGTTCTGACCTGCTTTTGTATTGTATTGAATGTATTGCTTTGCTTCAAAAAAGATCTCACACAGTCTTCCTGTTCACCATTATGGGAAAAAATATGCTTTCATTTGGATCCTGTTAGAGAGCGCCGATGATCTGTGCTTGAATCCACCTGTTAAATCTGAGGCTCGGCTCTGACGCATCTCCCTGCACATCAATGCAGAGCGACCCTGAGGATGTTCTGTTTGAGCCCTTTCAGAGAAAACAGCATAACCAGGCTGCTGTGAGTGAGAGCAGGAACCTGTTTGATACACCAATGTTTGCTGGCATAAAACAAAGTGCCTGATGATCTCACCTCAGGGCAACGTAGTAAGATAGCACAGTATACTTTGGTGTTTGAGTTAAAAGTTTTTACTGACAACTATTTAATAGCCTTTTTATTCAACACTTTACTAAAACATACTATAATGAGCAGACTGACACCACAGTAGTCAATTTTTAAGCCTGCAGCCTATTTTCTTGAATTTGTTAAGTGGATCCAATCTAGCAATCGAAGCTTTATATTCAAGATGGATTTTGTGGACAATCAGAAGCGAATTGCAGTATCAGTAGAAAACTGTAATCCCTTTTTAAGAAAGATTGAAATAAAGACAGGATCTGCTGTTGTATTAGAAAATTCAATTATACCCTTTATAAACATATTAGGTGATTAAGTCTGCCAATGCCAACTTATATTTATACAAATTCAATTCAATTAAAAAATACTTTATTGATACCAAAATGGGACATTTCAGTTTCATTACACCCCATCCAAAAATATCGCTTTAGTAGGTTTTCACAAGCATTAATGAAAAATAACGATAATAATATCGTTTGTAGCTACTCCTAAAGGGTAGCACCAAAAACAGAGGGAATTTACAGTGTGGCTGAATAACGGTAAATAGGACAAATACTGGAGGAAGGGGAAGTACCTGAAGAGAACCCATGCATGCAGTGGTAGAACATCTCAACACATAAAGAAATGGACATGTATTCCTATTTTTTCATAATTTCTGCCACTAGTTAAAATATGCTTTACATCCAATTAGGAAGTTATTTTTAAAAGGTGTAACAGGGAAACCATATGTTGAAATGTACTTTAGTCAAAATGTTTTTATCTGCATAAACCAGATTCTAACCTTTCCTGAACAGTTCAAGTTCTTATTATAGAGTAGAGCAAGAAAGTTAGCAACTTATTCTCTTTGTTTATGCCTTCTACAATCAGAATCCAAATCAGAAAATACTTTATTTTCAAGTAGTGTTTTACACATATGAAGAATTTGTTTTGGTTAAGAGATGTTACCATACTGTTAATTTAAAAAATATATAAAATACAGAATATATACATTCAGAATAAATCAAGGGATGTTCTATATAAAGAGATCCATAGAAGTGATTAAAAGACAGTAACCACTAGGGGTGAGTATTGGCATGGGTTTTGCGACATGATACGTGTCAATTCAATTCAATTCAGTTTATTTATATAGCGCCAAATTCACAACACATGTCATCTCAAGGCACAGTTCAACCAGATCATACAGTCAAATTGATACAAAGTTTTCTATCTAAGGAAAACCAGTTGATTGCATTGACTCATTGACTCAAATACAATCCCTCACACTAAACATGCTTGTAACGACAGTGGAGAGGAAAAACTCCCTGGTGTCACGATGTGATACCATCACTATATTGCAATATCACTATATATTGTGATATAGTTCCCAGCTATCAAATTAAATGTATAGATAAAAAAGCAAGTGCTGTATATGTTCATCCGAAGACGTTGATCATTCAGTTTTTTTGGTATCCATGTTGTTTAGGGTTTGAGTCAGTCCATGTCTTCCACTCTGACTGCCTCATCTACAGACATGGAGCTGCTGCACTGCAAAACGGCTTCACAGCACTGTCTGCCAGAGGGGGGGTGCAGGGGTAGCCTATTTTTCCTCATTGTTATGGGTAAAAAAATTTTTTTATTTTAAAATTTATACTAGAAAAAGACAGATGGATTTTATTTAGGGCAGGCGAAAATCACTATATATCGCCAAAGTGATTTTTTCCCCCGCACCCCTATTCATCACGAGCTCTTAGGAGATAGTAAACAGTCAACAGCATGTCATAAACAACACGGCTCTTTGAGAATCGGTCACTTTCACCCCACTTGAAATTTTCTAACTGCTAATAGATGTTCTTTTTTTAGTCAATGCAAGACAAGTAGCAATGTGCTTTGTAAAATTGATGAATGTGCAAACTCTGGTCGGTGGCTATAATAGCATCCCAATTATATATATGTTTTCTTTAACTAAAAGATTATAGCTTTATAATATATTAGTACTAGCAGTAAAACCAAATAGAAAGCCAGTTCACTTTACATTGTGTTTTAAAGTAGACTTGGCTGTTTGATAATGGGGAGTTCAGCTGGTGGTCATGATATGTTTTTTTGGAGATTTTTCTGATGTAGCAGAAAGGCCTGCAGTAATGATGCCATTATAGGTGTAAACCTGCATGTTGAATAGATTTCAGCATGGAATACTGGTGAGAAGTGCAGCAGCATCTTATGAGGCTATCAGTGTTCAGCCTGATATTGGACCGAGTTATTTTTGCAACGCAGACTGACTTGAAAGGCTTTCATAAGCACAGTAAATCTATGAAATATGGGAACATTACCTTTGTTGGAAGGAACCTGTATAATTTGTTGGAAAGCATGGTTCGTGACAGGGCTCATCTGAGCCAGCAGGAGTAAATGCAGCAGCGAGGGGGCAGTTTCTCCAAGCAGGGCGTGTGTAATGAAATCACATATTGGGATTTTAAAGTCTCAAGGCAACATAGTAAAATATGCTCTGACTGTACCGAGGTGTAGAGGTAGCCCTCGCTGTTCATGGCGATGTAGAGCCCCGTCTTGGTGCTCTGGATGGCCACTATCCTGAGTCCCACAGGAATCAAGTTGAACTGCACTGCAGGACACAGAGAAGAACAGATGGAGTCAGGGAAGTTTTTCAACCTCATGTTGTAATGCGGCATGAAATGATCTCCCCAATACCATTTTCTTATCCAAAAAGCTCATCCATGCAAGACAAGAACTGTAGAAAGATGATTTAAAAGGAAGAGGAAAACGAACCAAGACTGAAGCCTGCTAAAACTTGAATGTGGCATTAAAGAGAATAAAGCTGCTGCACAGAGAAACAGATACTTCAGCTGAGAGCTTTACACACTCAATAAATTACAAAGTAACATCTCATGAGTCTCCTGAAAATTGAGTTTATCTTTACTGACACAGTTAAACTCACTCTACAATAAAGTTTACTGGATCCCCTCTTTGGGAACCTTGGATTTCTGTAACTTCACAGATAAACTAATATATAATCAGAGCAGAGGAAAACTTCCACAGCTTAACACACACACAATCACTTGTAGTCACAAATTTAATATGGACTGGAATCATAAATCAATGACAAAAAAAAAACCTCAACAGAACTGAACAAAATAAGTAGTAAAGAGGCACAGTAGAACAGATAAAAATAGAACGAAAAAGCAATGGAACAAAAAGAATAGAAAATATGAGAGAAGATTAGAATACAAAGAAGTAGAAAAGATGGGGAAAGAAAACATCAAATAAGATTGTAACCCATGACAACAGAAAGGCATAGCATGAAATACAAAACAACAATACAAACAGAGATAAATGCACTCTAAAAAGGAAGATGAGAAAAGAATGTAAAAACAAAAAAATAGTAAAATTCATTTAAACAAAAGAGGTTGTACAACGTTTACCACATTAGAATAAAATGAAACAGAAGACAATAAAACATGAAATAAAAAAAAATAGAACAATGATGTTAAGATTTAACAGTAGAGGTTCACATACGAGAAAGGAACTGGGACAAATAATATGAAACAGAATGTCCAAATAGAATAGAATAGAAATCTGTTTGATTCTGCTTCGATTCTCTGTATTATTTTTTGTTGCCTGTTCAATCCATTAATTACACTTTTTGTCAGCTGTGATTTTTTTTTTTTTTTTTTAGTAGTTTTTATATTTACTTTTTTTTTTCTTGAAATTGGATTTTTCTTTGGATTTTGAGTTTGTAAACTTCTGTTTTATGCAGTTTTTTTTTTTTTTTCTTCTGTTCAAACTTAAACCTCTACGGCATCTATCAGGGTTCCTGTTCACATTTTGTTCCTTCATTCAACACCATCATGACAGCTCTATGGTTGAAGATCTTGTTATATTTAAATCTGCTGAGTGTAAGTCCTATAAAAAGTCCCTAACTGGATCTGACACAGTAAACTAAATGACCTTGACATTTGCAGCCTCTAGCACCCAGCTGCTCTGTCATAATGTCATGGCAAACAGTCACCACCATAAGGCACATCAACACAGCATTATAATTTGAGACAGATTAAGTTTTACATTGTGCTGCTATACTTTTTTAATCGATAGTCATAATAATAAACAGAAAAATGGGCCAAAAACAAAGACTAAAACCTGGCTAAGGATAATTATTTTAACTTAAATAGTAATGAAAATGAATTAGACTTTGTTTTGGCATCAATAAAACTTAACTGTGGGTGAAATAAATTGTTTTTTTTGTATTGGCAAAGTCAAAGATTAGATTTCTTTAATGAAGAAAAAAAATGTATTATGCAAAAAAAAAAAAACATGTATTGTTTTTATGCATCCGACTCCCAATTTAATCTCCAGCACAACTAAAATCCACATTTCTTACATTTAGAAAACGTCAGACATGGATGTTGCAAGCTAAAGGTTTAAAGTTATATTTCCACATATGCAAAATTGCCTCTGATTTTTTCATCAGAGATCCTAAAAGAACTTTACTGCATACAGTATGCTTAGTCTGCACTGTTTAAGGCTCACTCAATTGAAGTAGTTCTTATGGCAAAAGGGGTCAAACCTGTTTTCACCTTCTTAACTTCTAGCTAATTGCATTGGGTGCTACAAAACTATGTGTTAGGAATCCAGTTTGTGTGGGTTGTTTTTGGGGTTTTTTCTCTCTCCACCACCAGGTGGTGCCCTGTCCTCATTGGGCCTCCCTGCACACCTGCGGCTCGTTGGTTCATTACTAGAGGAGTATTTGAGCAGAGGACTGTCAATACCTTGACGCCAGAGTGTTTGCCAGTTTTGGGAAGCCTTCCTGTGTAACTGGATACCTGGACCCCCCATGGAAGGATTTACTGAGTACACACTGAGCAGGGGAAAACCTCCACAAGATCCGTTCAAGTTACCATCGGAAATCCAAGTGACAGTCCACTCCCTAACGCCTCTGGGTCCAACGTATGTCTACCTCTCCGCTCTCCGATGAGTTTCCTCTTCTCTGGATAATCCCACACAGACTGGATTCAAGGATTGACAAGACTCCCCTCAAACGCGAGTACCTCTCCAGCATAATTCAAGCCGCAGTCTCATTTCCCATGGTCCCTGAACTGATCTCTGTGATCTCCCCTTTGGACTCCAGTTTCGGTTCACCAGTTCACTGAGTTCCAGATCCAACCTCTGTTCACATTACATCAAATAAACCTGTTAAACTTTTTCCCGTGTTTTCTCAGTGGTTTCTCTGCGTGTGGGTCAGATTCCTTAAACCGATCAGGACACTATGTACTTCATTTACTTATATTCAGACCCATGTAAAGTGTGTGTTAGTACATGTTAGTACATTGGAAAAGTGTGACTTCAGCTTTAAAACAGACAAAACTAGCTCTGTCTTATGGTTTTCCCTAAGCGCTAGGGTTTTCCCCCATCCCTAAAACAATTAACAGGGTTAAAAGAAGTTATATGAGGACAAAAAGTTTACCAAAATGATTATAAAAAAAAAAGAATTATCTATAAACCCTAAAGCTGTACAGTATATATTTGTTAAGATAAGAAACCAGATTGGTTTTCCAAAGTGCACCAAAAACCTGATTAAGTCCAATTGTAAATATTTCAAGCTTGCCGCTTTTAAAGCGCATTGAACACAACACTGAACACAACTTCAATGAATGATAACAGAGCCTTCCTGTTCAAGCCTGCAAGTTAGATTTCTACATACATTATAGAATCCATCTCTTTCCTCCTACTTTAGTCACTAAAGAAAATAAAATCTAAACATACTTGTGCATCAGTTACAATCTTTAAGATGAACTCTCAGGGGAAATGTAAAAGTCTAATTTCTCTGAAGCTCTCTTCCACATTCCATGGTCTTAATCAACAGAAAGCACTATATCGATTAGTTTACTTACTCTCTAATGGAAGCCACCGTAATATCCATCTGTAAACTGTGTTGTTAAAACCTAATCAGTTGTAAAAGTAAACATCTGGCAATGTCTCGGATGAATGTTGAGTTATGAGACATAATAAAGTTGTCAGCTCTGTCTTTGAAATTAAACTTTTCATTTTAAACTGCAGGAATATTGGCCAATTGTTCAAACTGTATGTAAAATAATAATCGTCTGGTCTACTTTAAGACTTATGCAGTACAATTTAGTGACTTACTGCATCTTTCTTGGGGTGCTTTTAATGTTTTTTCTAGTAATCTGCTGTCCCGCCAGTCACGATGGTTGTGTGCCCAGTTTTATGGTTGAAATATTGGTAAAACCTGCACATAAATTTCAATCCAATGCCTTTTCTCCCCCTACCTTTCTTTTCTTTATCTCGAGGGCTCGACTCTTCTATTTACTCGATCGATTCCTGCATCTCAAACAGCGGGTTTCGCAAATGAACAAGGTGTCACCAAAGAGTGCGGCCGGATGACAAATAGTACAGGAACACACACACACACACACCAGCACACTTTCCCTTTTTCTTCTTCCAGTTCTCTCTCACTCTTAGTCATCCTATCGGTGACCTCACAAAGTGCACAAACACGCAGAAATCACCAATTTAACAAGGTTCTGTCGTCTCACTAAATAAAAAAAAATAATAAAAAAAGTTGCAGAGTTGCAAAATTATTTTGAACTGAAAAGAAATACACGAAAAATGATACAAAGGAAGAAAGAACAAGCCATGTCTAAAACAGGCTACAAATTAGCATCTAATCCAACAACCTCATGGTTATAGAAAAAAAGAACTTTCAAAAAAATTTGCAATAATAATTTATGTGTGTTGGCTTTTGTAACTGTATGAACACTAAAGAGTTGTGTTATAAAAAATATGTACTGTTTATTATTTTTATTAGTAGTAGTAGTACCAACAACAACAATAATGAAAACCAAAGAGCCTGTGTAATAATCATTTGGACATTAGACCTGCATTAAGTTTTCTCTACCCCTATGTCTTTTTTCCTGTCTGACTCATGACCTTCCTGCGAATAACTATGTACACTCCTATCTGTCTTGCTCTGCCAGCCAGTGGCTCAGTCGTATGTATTTGCCAGCATCTGTGTAGCGTTTAATTTAACACATCTTAATTGCTACAGACATCGCATGACTCAATTATTTTTTGTCTGACTGGATGCCAAATCAAATACATTCAGTTTTGAACACTACACAAAGCCCTTGCAAGGTTATGCATCTCTTTGACGCAACATGAACTTGAACTCAGATCAAGTTTTAAAAGAGTCTTGCAAACTGAGAAAGAAGACTAGCAAACTCAAAAGGGACTTTTGAAAATATAAAAAGGAGATGAACACACACATCAACACATAACAAAAAATGCTGCGAAGGAGAAAAGTTTAAACAAATTTTCCGTTCCATTCAGTTTCTTTATATAGTGCTAATTCACAGCCAGGATTTTAGCTAGGAATCTTTCATAGGGTGTACACCTTGATGTATGAAATCTTTAGGTTTTGCATGGCATAGGGGTGCGTGGGTATTCTCCCACCGTAAAATTTTGAAATGTATACTCTGAAACAGAGATGGCAAAAGTACTCACTTTCTGTACTTGAGTAAAAGTACAGATACTTGTGTTAAAAAATACTCTGGTAAAAGTGGAAGTACTGATTAAACTTCTTTACTCAAG